CAGACCTGCTGCTCTTGTTGAAAAGGGCTGCTAGGGAGAAGCGCAGGGCACTGGTCTTAGGCTCAGCTGCCCCATGCATGTTTGCTGCTACCAGGTGTATCCAGATACCGGGTATCTGTTGGGGTAAGGGGCAGGTGGTAACAGAAGAATGGATTAAAAAGTCCCAGCTATTGTAGGAAGACCAAGAACGTTCCCTGGCTCTTAATGAACTTGAAGCAAAGCCATTCCCGATGCCATAGCGGGCTCTGGTGCAGCCTGGGAGAGGCAGACGTATTAGAGCAGCCGACCCAGGCCATGGCTGTCACTGCGTCCTGGGTGTGCGTTGGTCTCACGTGGGGATCTCTCTTGCAGAAAGACCAGTTTGGGATGTACGCGTTGTATAGCAAGAACAAGCCAAAGTCAGACTCGCTGCTGGCCAGCCATGGGAATACCTTCTTCAAGGTAAATTCCACTGCCTGCATCACGATTGCTCTTGGTGTTTGGGTCGCTGATGTGTTTAAACAAGCCCAACTTCCCTGCTTGAGGCATGCTCAGCACTACCTCTGCTTTCCTGGCACAGTGCTATACGTGAGTGGGGGGGGGGGGGGGGAAACGGAAGTTTTGGGTGCCTGAGGGGGGGGGGGGGACGGGACAGAGATGCAGCGAGTGCTTTGGAAAGCGTACAGCACACGGCAGTATTGGTCCTATGGCTTTGCGTTTCCCTGCAGCGTGAGCAGAGTACCCCAGCTGGGAAAGCTGTGGGTGTCAGCACTTGCCTGGGGACACGGGGCTCTCCGTGGGAAGCTGCCGCCCTCACTCTGCTGTGTTCTCAGTTCAAGCAGGTGCAGCTTGGGGATAAGATGGACCTGGCCTCCTACCTGCTGAAACCCATCCAGCGAATGAGCAAATATGCCCTGCTCCTGAAGGACCTGATCAAGGAGTGCAGCGAGGCGCAAGAGCAGGAGCTGGGCTACCTCCGTGCGGCTGAGGAGATGGTGAAGTTTCAGCTCCGGCATGGAAATGACCTGCTGGCCATGGATGCCATCCGTGACTGTGACGTACGTTCCAGTGTCCTCCCCTGCCTGGGGGGAGGCAGAGCCACGCTTCTTTCCCTTCTCTGTGCTTGGGGTCTTTGTCGGTAAGCGCCCACGAGTGTGTTTACGGTGCCGTGAGGCAGCCTGGCAGCCCTTGCAGATGGTGTCCTGCCTCGAGCCCTTCCAGCTCTTCTGAGCTGGTGGTAAGAGGGTCAGGCAGTTTAGAAGATGGAATTCAAACTGATGCTGACGCCAGGGTTAGGCTAAAAGCAGCGAGGTGGGACTTGAAGGAGAGGCATGCAAAGTGCAGCACTGGAGGAGGAGAAACCACAGGGCTTAGGGTGGAGGAAGGTGGATCTGGGACAAGAAGAACCGAGGGACTGGCCTTGTGACCCAGACATGCTCCTGGCAGTTTGATGGGACTCCTTCCCTCTTCAGCTCTCTTCTTCCCCCTAAGATAATGCCCGGGCAACTGCCTCCAGTTGCCACCCCAGAGCTTTGTTGCCAATCTGCACATGGTGCCAGCACAGGGCCATCTGTGGGCTCTGCCTAGGAGAGAGGTGCAGCTCTACCCTGAGCTCAGGGCTGGTTGTTTCAGCCTGATGTGGCCTCTAGCAGCGCCATGCAGCCCTACCTCTTTCAGAGCCCTCCTAACATGTCAGGTAGCTGCCACTTTTCTTCGTGCTCTGCGTGTCCAGGTCTGGGATTGCCTGGAGCTGATCCCGCTGGAGTCTTACTGGGATGTTCCCTGTGTCCAGGTGAACCTGAAGGAGCAGGGGCAGCTGGTGCGGCAGGATGAGTTCACCATCTGGCTGGGTCGTAGGAAGTGCCAGAGACACGTCTTCCTCTTTGAGGATCTGATCCTGTTCAGCAAGCCCAAGAGAATTGAGGGTGGCTTTGATGTGTATATCTACAAGCGCTCCTTCAAGGTAAGGGCAGCCCTGCAGCTCCCTTGTGCAGGAGGTGTCCATGGCTGGCTTCCCCATGGACACGTGGCTCTGAAACGGGGAGCACCTTCAGCAGAAGAGCTGCTCCCACCACTGCTGAGCCTTCTCTAAGCCACACAGTGAAGCCAGAAGGGAATACTTCACACATTAATGCCTGGGACCCCTCTGTGCTCTGAGATGGGGGGCCGAGGTCTTCTGAGGGATGCGGAGTGTGAGGGAAAGGCAGTGTGTGTGTGTTTGTGGCAGGGAGGTGGTGCTAACTCTGGATGAAGCACTGGGAATTGCCTGGGCTGTCTCTGCTCAGCTGTGTCCAGATGGTACCTGCTGCTGTCCACATCCTCGGGCTCCTGCCCCTTGGGTCTGCCAAGCCAGGGGCAGCTCTCGCACAGGGTGTGGGCAGAGTTTACCCTTTCTGTTCCTGGTGGAGCCCCAGTTGATGCTTCGCTCTTCCTTTTTCTGGCAGACTGCAGACATCGGTCTGACAGAGAACTCTGGAGACAGCGGCCTGCGCTTTGAGATCTGGTTCCGAAGGCGGAAGTCCAGTGACACCTATATTCTCCAGGCCAGCTCGGCTGAGACTAAGCAGGCCTGGACCAGTGACATTGCCAAGATCCTCTGGCAGCAGGCAGCCCGCAATAAAGGTGTGATTCCTTCCCAGGGCGTCTGTGCCGCAAAAGGTGCGGGAGCCCTGTTCAGCTCGTGCTGTCCTGAGTAGGTTTGGAGCCTGTTACCAGGCAGCTGTGTGCAGCGAGCAGCTGTGTGCCAGCATGTGGCCTCAAGAGCATGTGCTGGGCTTGGCTGGGCATGTCCCTTCCCTGCCTCTCGTCCACGGGGAGCTTGACCAGTCCAAGCTCTCTGTGCCTATAGACACCCACCTGGACTCTGTGAGAGAAACGGGAGATACAGCAGAGGGTTCCCTGCCCTGTGAGTTTGGGCTGTGCTCCCGAAAGGCTCAGTGCTCTCGCCGTGCTTTAGGCCACGACTGGAGTGGCAGCTGTCTGGTTGAGTCCCTTCTCTCTGCCCCAGGCTTCCCGCTTGGCAGGACTCTCGTAGGTGGCATGGCACTGAGCTGCTTGGCCAGAGCAGAGCATGATTGCTTGTCTGTGGAGACTCCTCAGGACTGGGGAGCAAGGGGAGAACAGATTTAGTTTTGGTAGTTCAGCAGCCCCCTAGCCTAGGGGGAGCAACCTCATGATGTGGCTGTGGGTCTCTTCCCCTCCAGAAATCCGTATGCAGGAGATGGTCTCCATGGGTGTGGGCAACAAGCCGTTCCTGGATATCAAACCCAGCGAGGCAGCTATCAATGACCGTGCTATTGATTACATCATGAAAGGCAGAGGTGTGTGCCAGCCGTGCCTGCCCCCTTGCTCTGTGGGAGCTTGGCAGGACTGGTGCTCAGGGCTTTTTTGGTATGTTTTCTGGCAGGTGCCAGGACCAGAGCGTCGATCGCGGTGTCTCTGTTTGACCATTCCAACCCGTACAAGAGGACACAGGCGCAGCTTTCTGCTGGCAGCACCCCCGCTGCATACAGCCCTTCCTCTTCCTCCCTGCTGGGGCCCCTCAATCTCCACATGTACCTGGACCAGGCTCTGCTGCCAGGCGTCCTGACCCCCGGCCGCCCCTTTGACATTGGCACCTGCATTGAGGAAGACGAGCTGGAGCACGAGACAAGCAGCCAGCCATCACTGAGTACGTACAAGCCTGCTGCTCCGCAATGCGCCCCGGGATGTGCGGGCTGGTCCTTACGCCCTGCTCTGCGCTGTGTGGTCAGACACGGGGATTAGTAACGTGCCCGCCGACCTGCAGCCATCCCAGCCCCGTAGGGCTGGAGACAGTGCTCGTGTCGCTGCCTGCCCCTCTGGTACGAGGCCGCTGGCCCTTGCTCTCTCCAGCCTGGTCCAGTGACCACTTGGCTTCCTCGGTGTGAACCTCCCTGGCCAGTCTGTACCACTCTCCAGCATCATTTGCTGCGTTTCCTTGGGTTATTGCGTTGCCTATGGCTTTAAAGAGGCCCAGACAGGAGCGTGGCTCATCTGTGGGCTTGTGTGGCCAGTGCCTCTGCAAATAGATACGTTACAAGTGTACGTGGCACAGGTCACGTAGGCCAAATTCGTGGTCATCGGAGTGACCTTCCTCTCTTTCCCCCAGCAACAGAGAGCTCGGAGTCATCGCACTGCATGTCAGGCAGTGGCTCTAGCGGCTCCGACAGCGGCTGTGTCTCCAGCATCCCGCAGGAAAGCTTCTGTGAAGACATGGGCTCACCCCCCTACGTGCCCCTAGGCTCGCAACATGCCTCTGCGATGGAGGAGAAACCCAGGTTCACGAACAGCCAGTACATTTCCGCAGTAAGTGCGAGCAGCCAAAATACTCTCTTCGCTTTGCCCATTCCTGCAGCTGCCTCCCCCGTTCCGGCTGCTGCTTCTCGCAGGGGGACTGAAGATGCTGCCTTTGGGCTAGGAGTCGCTGTGGGGAAGTGACCTTTCCTCTTGCAGAGGCTCATCTCCTCTGGGGCAGGCGAAAGCCCCTCTGTTGTGAGAGCCTCCCCTGTGGTGGCCAACATCCCTGAGGAGAGAGATGCACTGGAAAGCACTCGCAGTGCTGGAAGCTATGCCAGGAGGGAATGCTGCACACAGGAGCTTTAACGTTGTCGCGGGCTGGGGTACATGCGTAACCTCCTGGGATGGATGGAGCTCTGCTGCAGATGCTGCTGAGCTTTCCTGGGAGGTTTGGGCCTTTTTCGGGGAGCGATGAGGTGGAGGAGCAGGAGCCTGTTGCTCTGAGATGTCAGTGTGTCTCCTCTTATGTTCCTGAGAGTTCTCAGCTGCTTCCCTTCCCACTAGATCGTGTCCTGATGCTGTTGTCCTCTAACCCTGTACTAATGCTGGCTTCTCTCCTCTGCAGAAAGCAGGCCAGGTCACCATAAGTCCCTCGACAATAGTGTGAGCCCCTCTGCACGCGTATACCGCCTAAGGAAGTGGAGTTGTTTGTAAGTAGCCCCTGAAGGGGATTTTCCAGCAGCTTTGAGTGCTGCTCAGGTTTGTCAGTAGCTGTGAGTCAGGAGAACCTCACCCTCTGCTTCTCCATGAGAAGTTTCCACATGCGTTCCTGACTGGTCTCTGAGGCTCTGATTCATCTGGTTGGAGAAGACCAGCTCCCACAGAGCCGTCGCCTTAAACAGCCGGTCTGGTGCCTCCCTGTTTGAAGGAGCAGAAGCAAAACCAGTGAAATTACTTTTTGGGTAGTATAGGCTTGAGCACCACCTAGTCCTGGGTGTTCAGATGAGCTTCTTTCTTCTGAATGCTACCCAGCTGTCTAACCACTAATCTGTTTCTTGTGGCTGTTTGCCGAAATCCTGCTCTTTGTTAGTCCCTCTGAACTACCTTGGGGAATCCACGGTGTTCTCCCCAAGCTGGATTTATCCCACAGTTTCCTTTGAACCTCCGAAGGAAACCAGACATCACCAGGCAGAGGCACCTGCTAGGTTATGGTCAGGATGTCCCGAGGGAGCTGCCAGATGTTGCTCCTTCACTTAGTGATTTCTGGAGGATACCTTGTCTGCAAGGAAACTGCTGTTGATGGGAGGAGGGATGAGCCCTGGCAGGACACATGGCCAGGCAGGGCTTCCTGCGCGTGGGTGGCAGCCCCTGGAAAGTCGTGTCATGTCCCACTCAAACCAGGCTGCTTCTGGCTCCGTTTCTTCCCTCCCTGTCCTTAGGACTGAGCCTCCTTTTTCACAGGGAGCAGAGGGCTGTGAACGTGAGAGAGGCAGGAGTAGGGCTTGAAGGGTGGAGGCAGAGGCTGGTAGATGGCTCCCAGTTTGGCACTGGGGGGGTGTTACAGGCCCATGGCTTGTGATCCACAGGTCTGGGGGTTCATAACCAGCTGAACTGAACCAGCCAGGGCTGAATTTTAAGATCCAGAGCCCCTTCGGGAGGGGGGTCGCAGACAGGACCTTTGAATTGGCCACAGAAGCAGCGGGGTTTGCCGAAGCAGCTCTCTGTGTGTCGGGGTGGGGGGGAAGAGCCGCGTTTCTCCTGCCAGGCTCTTCCAGTAACACGTTCTTTTCCCCACCCAAATGCAGCTCTGACAACCGGTGGTTTTCACTGCTGGCCAGGACAGAGGGACCCGTGGGGTCCTGCCCCCAGTCTAACCCATTGCACGGTGCTGTGTTCCAGGTTTGAGTGCCATTTCAAACTCTCTGAAGACCCCAGGCCTCTGACAGCAGGAGGAGACAGTCTTCACCCATGAAGATACTTTATTATTATTTTTTACACATAATCAGGCTCTTTCAAACAGCCCAAAACCTGATCTCTGGCTGGGAGAGGGGAGGAAGTCCCAAGAAGGTTTCTGTCAACTACACGTAATAGCTTTTGGTGTTGGATGGGACCTTGGGCATTCAAAACTTGTTAGCCCTGTATTTATGAGGAATAGGTAACATAGCAGTTTGGGGAGGAAAAAAAAAAAAAGAAAAAAAGTATTATTTTTAAAGCTATGAGCTGTACAGATTTTTGTTACAAGTGACTCTGTTACTATTTGTTCTGTAAGCTGCACATTTTATAAAGTTTTTGGAAGGGCCTGAAGAGAAACCGAGGTATTTAAGAAAAGTAGTGTAACTTCCTGTTTCAGGGTTATATTGACCCGGAGCTCAAGATTTAACGTCCTTCCTCATGTTCTAAATATGTCTATCATAGCAATAATTTATTTTCTTGGCTTAACACTTCTGTTTTAATAAAAGCAATTTCATTGTTATGGTGAATTGTTTCTTCAGATGATTCTTCCAGGGCCTCAGTGCTGAGCTTGCCTCTGTCTTAACATCTGTCCGCTCTTCCC